TGAGGGGGCTTGTCTCACCTCCGGGGGCAAGATGTTCCAAAGGGCGGGGGCCACAGCAGAGAAGGCCCGCCTTCTGGACCCCACTAATCGAAGTTCTTTTACCGCGGGGATCCGAAGCATGCCCTCTCTGTGAGATCAGGTGGGATGGGAACATATCAGATATTAAACTGATAAGGACAGATAGTATACTTGATCTTATCCAAAAGGCCAAGAAGGGATGTTACAAAATACTTATAACAACACTAAAGCTTCTAAGTTATATCTATATAGATAGTCTTCGAGTTATGATCACTCGTTCAGTGACCGTTCAAGGGTAGGACTGTGCTGAATGAGGGGGACTTATGACTGGTCCACAAAGTTGCGGCTACTGCAGCATCCACACAGTCACTTGATCATGATCCGGGCGTTCAGTACCTGGCTTGCAATTATGGTGTCACAATGAGGTATAGTCACATGGATGCACTTTCCAACATTCCCCGCTGGCTTCCCACAAGCAAAGTCAATGGGGAAGCTGGCACGAAATCAGAACTCACTCACACTTCTGCCACTTTTTCCTCTGCCCAGTCTGCCCCCGCACACTCTGGAGAGCCTCCCCGCGGCACCTGCTGGCCAGCTTGCCTGGGACTCCCGCCTCTTCCCGCTTAATGACCTGTGCAGTCCTGGGGTTACAATGGCAACTGGGACTGTGGGATCGCATTACTAAGCGATGTGGTCACGTGACGTTGCACTTTATGAATGTGCTGCTTAGTGATGGAAATTCCAGTCCCAATTGCCATTGTAACTCAAGGACTACTTGTAACAGAACTGTATCTGAACACTAACGAGCCAGGTCAACCTACCAATATTAAAAAAAAAAAAAAAAAGCAAAAGTAAGAGCCACTGAGGAAGCAAAATGGTAGAAGTCAAGAAAGAAATCTGGAGAGTTTCAGTTCAAAACAAGATAACCTTATATAAATTTTAGAGCTAATTTCTGAAACCAACTATAGATTATATACATCTCACATTAGGCTGTCTATGCACATCCTACTTATAAGGTTTTTAAATTCTCTCATATATTTCTTAACAGAAATGAGCAGATTAGGTATTTTGGCATATACCTTGGTAGCAGATAAAGACATACCCACCCACAGAGTAACGTTACGTTTTCCAAAACCAGTCAAGGAAATTGTTTTGAAAGAACTCAAAATGGCAATATAAATGGCTTCTGAGAATGTTTGTTGGAAAATAATTGGATACAATTGGTCACACTCTGAAAGTGAACTGATATCAGCAAAAGTGGAGCTAATTAATAAAAACTGAAATTAAACTGAGGACATAAATGGTTAGACCTACACTCCTCACTTTGACATGCAGACTTGCATTCTACAACAAAATGGGTCATTAATCTCTGTTTTAAGTCTGCTAATTGACCAGAAGGGGAAGATGTTGATTAGATAGGTAAATAGCCGTAAAAAGCTGTCAAGCCCAGGGGGAATTCGGAGGAAAGACAGAAGAGAGAAAGGAGATGTAAAAGATTCATGGACGTGGGCACCTATAGCTTGGAAAGGTGCAATGGTATTTTGGGGATAAGTGTACATGCTCAACTGTGTGACCAATCATGTACTCTCTGGTGGTGATGATGTCTTTGAAAGGTATAAAAGATACATGTTTCCTTTGTTCGGGGCTCTCTTCTTGGGAAGGAGTCCTCAATTATTAAGGTGCCTTAATAAATGAGTAAATGAGTTTCTCGAGTCCAGTCTTTCATTGGGTTAAAGGACTGGGCTGAAATCATGGTGTTGTGGACAACAAACTACGAATTCTTGAAAACCCAGATTAAGAATTAAAGGGATTATACTGTTGCTCCTGGTTAATATAAATTAGTGTCACAGAACTAATTTATAGTTCTGAAAGAAAAAATTCCAGACTTGATTATTTAGTAAGATCACAAGAATTTATCTGAGTGAGCGTTTGTGATTTTTCCCCTTATTCATGGTAGAAAGAAGTATGTATCAGGCGGTGAAATCACCACAATTCCAAAAAGACTAGGAATATGGGCTCCCACTGAAATTATAAGGAGATTCAAATGTCTACTATACTAACGAGTCAGCAAGGGCATGTGATTTAGTTACAGAAATGACATCATCCCCTTTCCGTTTGTGCTTTAGCATTACCTCACCTCCTAATGCAAGAATGAGTCATCTGCAATTATCCTGATCCATGGAATTTAGGTTATCTTGAAGTGCTTACACATATTTCATGTTAATTTGTTCAACTTCAGTGAAAAGAAAATAATTATAATTAATACTAATACCAAGCTTGGAAAAGTGAGTACCTGAGTTTGCCTGAAGTAAGACCCACACAAAAATAAGACATACTTAGATTTCATATGTAGATAAAAATGGATATTTGTGAATTTAAAAGTTTGTTTAAACATATACCTACCCAATAAGCATTTGTAAACTCTCAAGAAAGGTGGAGGCAGATTAGAGAGATTTACAGCAGTTAGAGCTTGTTTAAGTAGTCCAATTCTCTCAGTTTTTCTAATTTTCACTTTGTTTCTTTTATACATGATTCTGCTTAGCCTGAGGATGGGGACTCAACAAAGTTTGTATGGGGAAACTTTAGTCTACTTAGAGAAAATCGGAGGAGGGCAGAAAATGCGGAAGAGGTTTCAGCAATTCAGATACTTAATAATTTATAATGAGCATGCTAGAAAAAAGCATTAGATCTTTTTGTGGTGAGAGTGCATTACAGGTAGTCCTCGCTTACCAACCACTCTTTCAGCAACCATTTGAAGTTACAATGGTGCTGAAAAAATAACTTTACAGCCAATTTATGACCATTTACAACCTTCACAGTATCCCTCAGTCATGTGACTGCCATTACAGTCAATATGCATTGTCCTGTGCCTGACCTGTGTTTTTTTCTTTTTTTTCCCCTTGCAGAGAGATTGGAGGAAGGAATTGTAAGACAGTAAGCTGTTTGCTGTTTCACACATCAAAAGTAATGTGACTGCCTTGGCTGGGAGCCACAGGCACACTATGCAAACAGCTTATAGTACTCTCTTGAAATCTCTTCCTCTCCAATCTCTCTGCTCTGCGGGGGAGGGGGGAGCAAGCAATATCTATAAGCAATCTCTCCTTTGACTCTTCCCCCCAAACAGCAGAGAGACTGGAGAGGAAGGGATTTCAAAAGAGTAAGCTGTTTGCTCTTCTATACATAGAAAGCAATGCAATCACACCAGCAGTGGGAAAGGATCAGGCAAAGGAGAGACTGCCTACAGAAACTGCTTGGTTTTTTTCTTCCCCTTCCCTGGCAGAGTGGACAGATTGGAGAGGATTAGATTTCAAGAGAGTAATCTGTTTGCTCTTCTATGCATCAAAAGCAGTGTGATTGGTGTCAGCAGCCCAGGGCTGGGAGCCATGAGCGTGCTACACAAACAGTTTATAGTACTCTCTTGAAATCTCTTCCCTTCCAATTTCTCTGCTTTGTGGGCAGGGGGAGGGTCAGGCAAAGGAGAGATTGCCTACAGAAATTGCTTGCTCTCCCTCCCCTTGCACAACAGAGAGATTGGAGCGGAAGAGATTTCAAGAGAGTACTATAAACTATTTGCATGGGACACCCGTGGTTCCCAGCCCTGGGCTGCCAGCATGATCGCACTGCTTTCGATGCATAGAAAGCACAGTCGGGGTCACGTGATTTCCCACTTAGCGACTGCTTCACTTAGCAGCAGAGTTGCCAGTCCCAATTATGGTTAAGTGAGGACTACTTGGTATGAATTTAACAGTACACACTACAAGTGAAGGATTAAGAGAAAATTAAATAATGCATTTCTTTTTGCTTTCCAAAACCCTTTTATACTAATATATAATAATAAAAAGTCCAAATTTGGGCTGAAAGCATGGGAAGGAAAACGTTTCCACAGGATGGGAACACAACAAAGCCTTCCTAAAGCTCTAAAATAGGAAAAGAACTATTAGAGACCAACAATAACTGCACTATTTTGCAAAATAGTATTGCAAAATCCAATTTTTATGGCAATTACTTATTAGCAAGCACACCTTTGAAAAATAACTTT